TACCACGATTGAGCAATAGAAACATGTCCCCATGAGTGATAATCCAGCCGACATTGCATCCAGAGGATTGGATGTGAACCAACACAACCAACTACAAAGGTGGATTTGTACCAAACGAAAGACTCCTGGCCGCCCCGCGAGCCCCAGCTATCAGGTATTCCGCTTTTGGATATCGAGGTTAAACATCATCGGGTTATTGCTGCTCTTGTACATCTGTCTCCCCAATGGATAAACTAATTTCCAATTATTCATCCTGGACAAGATTGAAACGAGTTGTCGCTTGGTTTGCCAGATTCAAGACCTTTCTCAAGATCTACTCCTCAGTGGAATGTTAAGAACGCGATCACTCTCGGCGAACTAAATGACGCAGAATTGACCCTAATCCAATGCGTGCAACAACAGGTGTTTTTTGAGAGCATACTCAATCGTCCAATCTGGAGCCAGGGACCCAAAGTCTTCTCATGCAAGGGATCACCGCTAAGTAAACTGCGTCCCGTCTTAGCCGGTTGACTGCTGTACATTGGTGGCCGGATGACCGAAGTCAAGTTGGCTGTGAACTTCAAAAGACCACTTATTCTGCCTGGTTGACATGTGATAACGGAATCTATTATTTGCCATCGCCACGAGGCAGAAGGTCATATGGGATTGATGCATGTCCTATCGGTGCTAAGAGGACAATTTTGGATAATACGTGGGACGTCTGCTGTTAGGCGAGTAATTGCACGATGCATAAGTTGCCGAGAAAGATCAACCGTACCCGTCGATCAACTCCTGGCGGAGCTGCCAATCAATCGTCTGGAACCTAACTTCCCGTTCGCAGCAACCGGCCTAGATTATTTTGGACCATTCGGTGTACGAGCAGGTCGTGGAACAAGAAAGCGTTGTGAATGTATTGTTACGTCTGAAGACCCGAGCTATGCACATTGAGGTAGCCCACTTTCTCACGATCGATTCCTTTCTCATGGTGTTGGTCAGGTTTGTGAGCAGATGAGAACACCCTAAATATATCTACAGTCATCACAAAAGGAATTTCGCCTGTTCGGAATTGGGATTACGGAATTTCTTTAAGGAAATGGATGATAGTCGGATTCGGAAGGAATTGAAGTTGAAAGAGATAGAGTGGCATTTCAATCCACCATATTCAAGTCACCGGAGTGCTTTGTGGGAGAGAGTAATCCGTTCCATACGCAGGATCCTAAGTGCCATGTCACGATAACAGATTCTAACGGACGAACCGCTACACACATATCTCACTGATGTTGAAAGGATCCTCAACAACCGCCTCCTGGTACCCGTCTATAGCGATACGGATAACCTAGAAGTTCTCACACCCAATAACCTCTTGCTAATGAGAGGAGTCATGGAACGCACAGGGGATCCAGTTGATCTGCGAGCTCGTTATACCCGGCAATGGAGGCAAAGCAAACTTTTCGTTGACACATTGTGGCATCGTTGGATAAGGGAATACGTACCTACATTACAAGCCAGGAGAAAGTGGGGGCGCGTACGACGAGACCTGAAGGAAGGCGACTTGGTGTTACTTCTTGGAGGAAGTCGACCCCGCAGTAGATGGCCTCGAGGTCTCATCGTGAAAGTATTGAGGAGCACTGATGAGCATGTGCATGAGGTTGAAGTAGGAAATGCAAATGGAGTACTAAAGAGAGACATTAGAAAACTTTGCCTGCTAGAAGGTGTAGACTAAGTTTAGGTATGCCGCTCGTGAGTAGGGCGTATCTGGGTTTGGCACCAGTGGTTGTGGCAAGAGAAAATAGTACCATTTTCATTTGAGGTTGAGCCCATGGAGCGCAGTAACCATCGGAGCTGTAGGTTAAGCCGTG